TACATGAACTTGTATGCACTTAGTTTCCATGTTTTCCTATTGTTATGTACAAAATAAAAATAAGTTTAAAAACATAAAAATCTGAGATACAATGGCAGAATGCTGCCAAAATTTGAACCAAGTTCTTTCTAAAATAGCTTGCACACACACCTCAGCTTTGCTATTATCTTGTTTAAAGTATTATTAGTGTATTTCAGACTCCAGGATCTAACACCAAAAATACATGTGAGCATAAACTATAGTGAACTTTGTGTCAACAAATTTGAGTCGGTAGGAAGTAGACGACCAATGGATTTGTCAGTTTTTGTAGCTCATGAAAGAAGAGCTAAATATACTGTATTTAAAGGGAAAAAACAACAACTATGAAGAAATGTTTTTTTATTGTTAATTCATTTGCATAGCTCTCAGTTTCCAAAATTAAAGGTGTTAACTATGATCACTGAGGGGGAAAAGAACAAGAAACTGTCTAACAACTGTGAATACAAGATTTTCCAGACTAGTACTATCCAGCATTTGTAATTGTGTGACTTTCTTGGACCTCTGTCTTCGCAGTTCTGCATTTCTAATTTTCCTTTTTATCTTCTGTAAATAAGTCATATTTTTGGCATTAAATGTTCAGGTTTGTAGAACATTACTGGCTCTGACATTACCCCTTGTCACACAGCAAAGGCATAATTCATGAACAAATAAGTGCTAAAGATTATTGTAATCGATACTTTAAAGATTGAGAATCATCGTCTTGTAGACACCATTGATTATGGGGTCTGGTAATTTATAAATAGCTACCTGTGTGAAGTGATATAAGCTCACTACATGCGGAAAGTTTCGCTTTTGTTAAAAAACAGAGTCAATAGGAATGATAATATTTGTGTACATGTATTGGAGCTGGCTGGCTTATTCATGGAGAACAGTATCTGTTTTGAGTGTATCCTTTTCCTGTGGATTGTTCACTAGTAAATGCTGATTTTTACAATAGTAGTTGCTCAAAATATTCATTAAGAGTTTATGCAAAAAGTGATGTCAAAGGAATGGTTCAATTAACTGTTCATTACTCCTTAGTGGTATATGATTTGTCACCTAAGTCATATGATATGGTTTCTGCTTCCTGACTGGATGACAGACTTTTTAAACAGGAGATTATCATGTGTATTGCATGACAAACACGACATTTTCCACTTACAATATGAATGTTCAGGTGTATACACATTTATGAACTTTTGGGATCTACACACACTTCCCCACAAATAGGAGATGAGCAATTGCACTATGTTTAATAGTTGACAATAGTAGTGAATCACTTTGTCTATTATGCATTTATTATTTATGAGCATTAAGCAAGCTGAGTGAAGCTGAATAAAGAACAAACCAAAGGTAAAAGGAAGGATTGGCCGTGGGGAGAGGGGGGATGGATGAACAGTTAGTTAATACTAGCCACATACATGGGCTAACATCTCAGAACAGCTGTTAGTCTTGGATGATTATTCCCTTTTGCTCATTATGCCCAATAAAAATGGAGATATCTATGGAGATTTTGTAGTCTAAAACCCATAACACAATAAAAATAATCAGTTTTGGGTTGGGACAACCACTGACGCTTCACCAAGGGATTTAAAAAAAATTATTGTTACTGTACACAGGCACCAGGTATGCTCAGATTAACAGAGGAGAAAACCATGGACAGGAACTTTTGGTGACACTTTAATCCTCACCTTGCCTGCAAAGATACTCCAGGATGATTGGGAGAGAGTGACTAAGACTTGCATTTGATTTTGTTTAGTAGAGAGCTGGCATGTTGCTGCCTCAATAAAGGCCATTTTTATTGTGTACATTTATCACTGTAAATATCAGGTGGGACATCCATAAAATCTCTTGTGGGTGAGCATTCCCTGCCCTGAAAATAAGATACGTGTAATATTGGGTTGTTTTGTGTTGACAAGTGAGGCTTAAAATCTTCAACTTTATTTTGGCTTGCTAGTGTTTGGGATTATGATGTTTTCTGCGTCTTGCATTTAAGATTATTTCCTATTATTGGAGGGTGAAATTCAGTTTATTGTGGTAGTAAATTAGATCCTAATTACCTCTAAATATTTGAGTTGGATAACTGGATTAAACTACATTTTCAAGCATACTCACAATTGAAGTCAATAGTGATGTGACATTTGGATAGTCAAGAAAAGCAGGACTAAGTCCTTGATGTATGTTTCATTAAACATTGCCATTTGTGCTATCCAAATTCCACTGCATACACCATATTAAATTACAGTCTACATTTACCTTATTGTATTGCCTCACATATGGCTGAGGTTTACCTTAGCATGAGTGGTACAACACCTGAATACTAATATTAAATGCATCTTTTCCAGTTCATATTTATGGTCTTAAAATATGAACAAAATCAGAATGTAATAAAATACACAATATAATCAAGAAACTTCAATGTAAACAGACAAAACACAACGTCACAATGGCCTAGAGCACCCACAAGAATCTAAAGAAATTAAATTGATTTAAGCTTATGCAAGCTGCATCCATTCCTTCAGATCAGGAAAGTGAATGCTCTTCAAAGTTTATTTTAAGCTCTCTCACATCAGCAAAATAGGAATAATTTAATGTGACAGTATATTGCCATACTACCCTTCTTGTCTCAGAAATGTCACAATGATATTCTGCTTCTAAGATGCCCTTTATTTCCTAATGCTGGCCCTAGCTCTACGATTTAGCTATCATCTTCCTTCCTCAAGCCAATCACTGGCTTAATGTTGTCACCTTATTCCTATCTTAATGTACATCAATCATAATAGGAAAAAAGTGACTGGGATGTTAATTTCACATGTACAAAACACATGATTGCTTTTATTGTTGTTACCATAGTTATGAACCAATCTAATGTTTCAGAGCCCAGCAGAACAAATAAAAACCTTGAATTTCCTGTCTTTAGCAGGTACTAAAGACTGTATCAATTTTGATTTTATTGGACAATAATGCATCAGTTGGAAACATAATATTTTACTAATTCTGCCAGAAAAACAATTACTAGAGAACTTAGTTTTCTATTGAAGAGCTATTATGGGGTCTTACTGTCATTCATTACATCAGCAAAGGTTGGACATACTTTTTTTCACTCTATTCTTTTGCCGACAAACAGATCACAACAAAAGACTTGTACACATAGGGCACATCTACACAGCAAGGCAAAAGCTGAACTAAGATATGCAATTTAATAACTGGCTGGATAACCATTCTCAGAGAGTCATTATTAATGGTTCACAATCCTGTTGGAAAGGCATAACAAGTGAGGTTCCGGAGGGGTCTGTTTTGGGACCGGTTTTGTTCAATTTCTTCATCAACGAGGAAGCTGGGAGGGCATGCAACTGCTTTGGAGGATAGGGTCAAAATTCAAAATTACCTGGACAAACTGGAGAAATGGTCTGAGGTAATTAGGATGAAATTTAATAAGGACAAATGCAAAGTACTCCACTTAGGAAGGAAAAATCAGTTTCACACATACAGAATGGGAAACGACTGTCTAGGAAGGAGTACTGCAGAAAGGAATCTAGGGGTCATAATGGACCACAAGCTAAATATGAATCAGCGTGATGCTGTTGCAAAAAAAAGCAAACATGATTCTGGGATGCATTAACAGGAGTATTCTGAGCAAGACATAAGAAGTTATTCTTCCGCTGTGCTTGCACTGATTAGGCCTCAATTGGAGTATTTTGTCTAGTTCTGGGCATCACATTTCAAGAAAGATGTGGAAAAATTGGAGAAGGTCCAGAGAAGAGCAAAAAGAATGATTAAAGGTCTAAAGAACATGACATCTGAAGGAAGACTAAAATAATTGGGCTTGTTTAGTTTGGAAAGAAGACGACAGAGGGTACGTCTACACTACATTGCTCTGTCGATGGAGCCATGTAGATTTGTTTATTGGGCAAAGGGAAATGAAGCGGCGATTTAAATAATCGCCGCTTCATTTAAATTTACATGGCTGCCGCGCTGAGCCGACAAACAGCTGATCAGCTGTTTGTCGGCTCAGCGCGCTAGTCTGGACGCTCCCCTGCCGACATCAAAGCCCTTTGTCGGCAGCCCCGTTATTCCTCGTGGGATGAGGTTTCCCGGGGCTGCCGACAAAGGGCTTTGATGTCGGCAGGGGAGCGTCCAGACTAGCGCGCTGAGCCGACAAACAGCTGATCAGCTGTTTGTTGGCTCAGCGCGGCAGCCATGTAAATTTAAATGAAGCGGCGATTTAAATAATCGCCGCTTCATTTCCCTTTGCCTACAACCCTCATCTACATGGCTCCGTTGATGGAGCCATGTAGTCTAGAGACAGCCTGAGAGGGGACATGATAGCTGTTTTCAGGTAGCTAAAAGAGTGTCACAAGGAGGAGGGAGAAAAATTGTTCTCCTTGTCCTCTGAGGATAAGACAAGAAGCAATGAGCTTAAACTGCAGCAAGGGAGGTTTAGGTTGGATACAAGGAAAAAGTTTCTAACTGTCAAGGTGGTTAAACACTGAAATAAGTTGCCTAGGAAGGTGGTGGAATCTGCATCTCTGGAGATAGTTAAGAACAAGTTAGACAGACATCTTTCACGGATGGTCTAGATGGTACTGGGTCCTTCCATGAGAGCAGGGGACTGGACTCAATGACCTCTTGAGGTCCCACTTCCAGTTCTAGTGTTCTATGATTCTATGAACTTCAGCTACGTGAACTGTGTAGCTGAAGTCAAAATAGCTCAGTTTGGCTTTTGGCTTTAGGGAAGTCTCTTCCTTCAACTTCCCTTATCCCTTGTGAAATGATAGTTACAGAAGTTGGAATAAGTCATCCTCCAGTTTGCCATTATTTCAAAATAATGGCTTGCTGTGTAGACATGCTCTTTGTTATTTCGGAATAACTTCAGTTATTCCGAAATAATGCTGCTGTGTAGAAATGCCCATTGAGTCTGTCTACATCACAGCTGTAACAAGACCAGAAAAATCTCCAATTATCCATACCACACTCCTTACCTTCAGTTTAGCCAAGAGGAGTTCATGATCTTGTAGTAGTTTTTTGGTCTCATCTTGATTGCTGCCTATTTCTAATACATTTGGAATTGATTCAGCCAGCTGAAGTTGCACCCATTTCCCACACTAAAAGGCAAACAAAGGCAAATACCCAGCGTGTGTCATCCAGAAAACACAAGGGCTTTTTCTATCCCTTCCCCCAAAACATAGCAGTTAAGGCCCATATGGATCTTGTACTCCAGCATAGCTCCAGTGGATTCCCTGGGGACAGAGATCCACTTATATGTATCCAATCGCACAATCAGGTCCCAAAGTATACAAAATCCAGTGAATACAAACTTGAAAAATGGGATGCCATAAAAATGGTAAATCAAATGTCATTTGAGGCCCCAAATTCTTGCTTCATCCAATCTCTACCCAGGCAGTAGTCAAAATGGTATTGAAAAGGAAAGAAAATCATACCAGGGACTAAAAATAACATTTTTCCCTTCTCTGTCCTGGGAATTGATAACATATTTATAGCTGGAGTTTGCAAGGATTTCTCTCAGTTAAGGGGCATGGTGAACTGGTTATCTAACCCTCCCAGAACAGAAACAAATTAAGGCAGACATAAGGGTTGTCATTTTTACATAACCCAGCTGGCTTCAGTACCCAGAGTTCTGTTAGTGCCAGGTAATCTATCACAGTATTTTCTCTAACAAGTGAAGGTTTTTTTTAAAGCAACAACCAAAAGCTGGGGGAGAAAATGACAAAAGGAACATAAAAATTAGAAAGTGATGGGCCCAATCCTGCAGTTTCTTACTCCTGTAAGTACGACTCATTTAATTTCTTACTGAACTGAGAGATTTCCAAAACTATACTGTTGAGAATTCTTTGAGAATTCTCATTGTTTGAGAATTCTTTAAAGCATCTGATCTAAATGTATAATGTTACTAAACACTTAACCACCGTCAGCTCTATAGCAGATAGATCATGAGCCAGGCAGAGTGTTGGAGTGAGCCTCCACAACTAGGAGCCAGGAATCTTACACAACAGACTGGGCTGCTGCTGAATAACAATTACTCTGGGATGGAGTAAACTCCAAGGCATCTGTGCCTTTATCTTTTTGCTTGGAGAAATGCCAGGTGGATTAATGTGGTAGCAAACCCCACCAACACTTCTAAATTCCCACTAAACTGCAGAGCCACTCATGACTAGAGGTTCCATGGTGCACACGCAGTATGTGGCCTCTCTCAAGTCCTGTCTTTCCACATCTGCTAAGGAGGAGGAAATTTTTCTCCTAGAAAGAAAAAGCCCTATGCTGTTCTAAATGCAAAATCTGACTCCCACTAACGTCAGCAAACAAAAAGTTGTTGCCTTTAATCTGATTTACAAACTCCAAAAACCCCTTGTCTGAGAGATTAGAGGTATCAAAGGGAGTGAGGTGCTCATCTTCCATTGAATTACAGTTAGTGGCAGGTGGCTAACTCTCTTAGGCAGCTTTGAAAACCCCAGTCTTATTCAGCATCCCCAGCCACTGCAATGATACTGTGGGTCTTTATCAACATTAGGGCATACACAAGAGCTTCTACTAGCAAATATATGACAAAGACAATTCACTTTTGTTTTTACAGGGTGACTACAATTTTAATTGGTATTTTTTCAGCTATAACTCTAAACAAGACAAGGAGCTTCAGGGGGTAGCCGAGTTAGTCTGTTACAAAAAAAAAAAGTAGCAAGCAAATGGTCTGGTAGCACTGTATAGACTAACAAAACATGTAGATGGTATCATGAGCTTTCGTGGGCACAGCCCACTTTTTCAAGGCTAAGTCAAATAGCTCTCTGTGCATTTGGGATGAAAGAAAAGTATCTAGTGAACAGAGTTAATAAATACCTTTTTTTAACTCCTCAAAACGGATAACGTTTTGATGTACTATAATGATCCATCTTTTTGACAGCACCCTAAATTTACATTGCCACCTTTTAGAATCAGAGATAATCATGGCCCCTAAGAATTTACATAATTTGGTTGAATAGTTTTAGTTTACAGAAAAAGGAGAAAAAGTGATGCACTGTGAATAGCATTAACTTGTTAGGAGATTTCTACATACTAACGTAAGCAATAAAATAAATGTATTTGCCTGATTGACAGTATATGCTTAACAGATGCGGATATGAGCAGAATTTGGAATAGGCTGTTACTAAACACTACACAGACAGAGCATAACTGTTAGCAAATGTTGTCTTACCTTAAGTATTGCAATAACAATCCTGGAATCTCCAGCCTGGACAGCAACTGAACTGACTGTTGTTGTAGAAAAGTGCTCGCCAGAGCTGCTTCCATTTGACATGGTGTCTCAGCACTGGACTTCATACATTACCGCAGCCTCAATACACTTGTATGCATGCCCTGGTCATTTCAGAAGGCAACAAACAGGGTTACTTGGATTCATTCAGCAAAAGAGCTCAGCTAACACTGATTACTCTGCCAAAAGGAAAGAACAGGAGGTTAAAAATAGACAACCCCATTGAGTTTATCATTCTTGAGAGAGAGAGAGAGATTTGACACACCCCTAGTTTGGTAGCATTAAGCTGCCTGTTCTTTTTTTGTCATTATCTGAAATGTAAAGGGCTGCCTCTGTGAACATCATCTGACTCTAGATAAGCAAACGGAAAAAAGGTACTTAAATTAAAGTAGCTGGAATCAATTTAACAACTATTTCTGTACAGATAGAGCCCAATATAAATCTTTAAAACAAGCAAATTGCTGATCTTAACATTCAGCTTTTACAACTTCGTGTTATTCTCCTAATTTATTAGTTATTAAATGAGCGCCATAAACTTGCTGAGTATATTTTTCTCTAAGTGCACATTATGAAGCACTATTATATATATATATGAATATGCATATGAATAGTATAAAGTATAGAACAAAATGGAACTAGACAATGTATTTCTTTCAAAAATCATTAAAATGTACAGGAACTGTATTCACTAAGAAAGGAATCCAAATATCCTGTGTAGACTTTTGATAGGCATTTCATTACTTAGTATTGTTGGAACTTTTTTATTCAGGACTTCATTTCATAGCCAATAGTTCCTATATTCTGTTTAAGTGTAAGTAGTCACTATAATAATATGCTTGTAAGAGGCACATTTCCCAACACATTCAAAGGCTCCACTGTACATTAACTTTTATTTAGTGCAGGGAAATCACAGACAGTTTGAAATTGTGGCACAAGGGCAGTACATTAATTCTACTGCTAGAAATGCAGAGCATGCCACAAGTAGACGGTGGTATTAGACAGCTGCTAGTTGATTCCCTGTGACAGAACAGCTGAGAAAGTGACACTGGAGTTTAGGTCACAGGTTACTCAGTTGACACGAGCACATTGGAGAAACCTCAGATTTAGCAGGCTTATAAGCATCTGCTAGCTGTATTTAGTTAAACCATGTAACAGTTTAGATCAATTTAGAAGCAAATCCAGGCTGAAAATGTGATAGTCCCAGAATTAGAGAATTACAAGTTATCCATGTAATCAATATTCAAAGATAAAAAATTACCTCTGTAGTCAGCAAAAATTCTGGCAACTCAAGTACTGTGCAAAAAGGCTCTGCAAGTCTTCGACCATGAAGTCTTTCTCCCAAGTTCTCCTCACACAGGCAGTGGACATGGTGACATACTTCTCAGGTATTCCAGGAGTACCAACAGAATGGAGCAGAGTGCAATGCTGGCTCCACCACAGACTGGCTGAATATGATTCTATTGTTAATTGTTTTAACAAGTAAATTCAGACAGCAGTGATGCTAAAATCTGAAAGAAAGTGATAAAATATTTTGCATTGAAGGAAGGAGGGCAGAACTACAGTCATGTTGATGGCTGCCCACCCACTCTGTGCTAAAGCACTTAAACATTCTGGACTCTAGTTACCTCTGGAGAGAAAGCAATCTTGAGCTCAGGTGCACAGATGACAATTCTTTTAAAAGAATATGCAGGCCCAAAGCCAAAAACAAATCACAGAGCAGCAACTCTTCAGCTCTATGATACAGAGAGACAAAGAGCATATTTCACATCCTTCCACCCATTCACAACACCCCTTGACATACCTTGCAGACCCTCTTCAGTAAAACAAACACTTCATATAGAAACTCAGAAGACTCACAGAAGAGGAAAAGTCTACAACACTTTAGACAACATGGGCACTTGTGTACCAGGTATGGCCAAGATGTGAATTGTGTATCTGAAATGGAACAAAAAGGTAGGAAATTGTACAAAAACTCCTTTGTTCATAAACAAAGTTGGATCAACGGAAGGACTGACATTGTATAACTGGAAGAAGTAGTGTGTTTGCTTCCTAGGATACCCTAAAAGAAAAGGACTTAATGCAGCTTCCTGAATCTGGGCAGGTCCAGGTGCAGTATGTAGCCTGTGTAGGACTCTCTCTGACTTTTAGAAAATATGATCTCTGAATTAGTGAAAGGGGTCAGGTCAACTTGACTTCTAGTCTAGGAGTTACAAGTAGTTTCGGGTTCTCTGCCTGAGTCTCCTTGCCAATATTAATTGTTTCACAGGCACATTTTTTACATTTTGAAAAATACAGCTATGCCGGGGGTTGGGCAATCACACTAACTTGTTAAAGCCGTTGAATGTGACAGAAACTTCCCCATTAGGCTAAGCAAAGCAACAATGAAATGTCCTTTGTTTAGTGATACTTGAAATAATGAAAACCCAGCAGTAAGGATTAGATTAAAGTCAAACCTGGGCAGTAGCTGACCTGCTGGGAGTGCTGGGGAGAGGGGAGGGGGAGTCTGAGGATAAACACAGACATGGGGGAAGGGTTTTATTGCAGCTGTGTGAGAGAAAGTAGCAGGGGCTACACCACAGAAGCACACAGGGAAGGCATCAAGGAAACCTCAGACAAGCTAAAGAAGCCTTATAGCATGATCAGGACAAAATGCTAAGAAAGAGAGTGAGCTTTTGTGTAGAGTCACCGCCGAGAAGAGACTTGGAAGTGGGAGGTAAGACACTGTCTTCTGCTCTTTGAGTCCTGCTGGTTATGGGAAACAAGATTAATCTGTGTTTGCGGTAAGTAAATAAGATTGTAACAGACATGTACCAGATTCTATCACTAATTTCTCCTCTGAACAGAAACAATCTGCAAGACCCCAAATATTTGCTAACTGTTTGAATCAAAGGGGATAGTCATATTTTCCTCTCCTGTTGCGGCATGAAGGATCCACCCAGTAAGCAATGGGGGAAACTGAGATACTCACTGACTATACAAGGGAAGCAGTGAAACTAACCGAAGATCAAACTGAATGTGTAGTCATTGTAACTACAGTACACAACAAGTTTTCAGACAGACATCAGAAAAAACCCTTTATATTGACAACCACAATTATTTTTATTTCTTTTTCAACATGTAAACATAAAAACAAGCAGGGAAGCTCAGACAATTAAAAGTATATTACAAGACAAAAACTGCAGTAATCAATCAGCAACATCTCTGTGCAAAATCCACATTTCAGTCTCAGCCCCCAAAATCTAACCCTTTCCTCAACATCTGCACAAATGAATAGACTATTATCACAGTTTGTCCAATGATAGTGGCACCAAGGAAGCCTGGTTAAGGATTACGGTCACATCATGATAGGTGCTCACAGAAAGCCCAACTAACAGGTTCTTCTTTTGTATACCAAATAACTTCCAAGTTTTTGGGGAAAGAAAGCATCAGGTTCCATGCCAGACAGAACTTTAAAGATCAAAACTACCTATGCCCCAGATGCTACAAGGCACTTTGATAGATGTTCAGTTGCACTCTCTGGCTATGTCTAGACTGCAAGCCTCTTTCGAAAGAGGCTTTCAAAAAAGCCTCTTTCGAAAGAGAGCATCTAGACTGCACGCAGAACTTTCGAAAAAGCAAGCCGCTTTTTCGAAAGAAAGCAGCAAGTGAGTCTGGATGCTCTCTTTCTAAAAAGCCCTGTTTGCTTTCAAGAACGCCTTTTTTTGAAAGAGCACTTTCGAAAAAAGGCGTTCTTCCTCGTGAAATGAGGTTTACCGCCGTCAAAAGAAAAGCTGCGTTCTTTCAATTTAATTTCGAAAGAACGCGGCTGCAGTCTAGACGCAGGTGAAGTTTTTTCAAAAAAAGGCTACTTTTTTCGAAAAAACCGCTGAGTCTGGACACAGCCTCTGAGTTGGACAAAAAGATAGAGCTGTGTCTCATCAGCATATTGGTCTTTTACTAGCTCTCTTGAATACTCCATATACACACAGAGCAGGAGGTGCAATGAAAATTCCCACAGGGAAAAAAAACACTTACAATCTCAGAGTAATTGTATCACAAGACAGGTCCATTCACACAGCTTGAGTCTTGCCAGAGAGCAAAGATATGAGTCTAAGGGTACATCTAAACTACAGGCTTCTGTCGACAAAGAGTGCCTAGACTACATCCAGTTCTGTCGACAAAGCAAGCCACTTTGTTGACATCAGAGTGTAGACGCAAAGGACGGTGTAGTTGCAATAACGCCATCTGTCAACAGAACTCTGTCGACAAAAGGCGTTATTCCTCGTAGAATGAGGTTTACCGCCATCGACAAAACTACCAAGTTCTGTCAACGTTATATCGACAGAACTCGGTGGTAGTGTAGACGCAGGTATAGTTTTCTCGACAAAAGTCCACTTTTGTCGACAAAACCCTGTAGTCTAGACACACCCTAAAGCATCAGTTATGGAGCTAAGCTGTTCCAGTACATCCAGAATCTCAGTGAAGACTCTTCTGTGCAGAAAGAAGCTGTGTAATCTAAGAAAAATAAATCTGGTAATTGCTAACACCCATTATTCCAATGGCACCTCCAGCATGTGGTGTAGGAAGAGTACATGAAATTCACTTGAAGCCTTTTAATGGGTTGCTTAAAAGATCAGAAAGCTGATCTGGCAAGTAACTCCTGTATCTTCAGGCATGCAATGTACTAACACAAATGGGGTCTACATTTGCTTCCAAGGATGACAACAAGATCAGAAACACATAGTAAACCTATCTGGATCCCAAACCAAACACAAGTTTCAGAGAGGTAGCTGTGTTAGTCCGTTTCGGCAAAAAACCAAGGAGTCCTTTGGCACCTTAAAGACTAACAATTTGAGGGGGAGGGGGACATAAGCTTTTCGGGTTTTTTTTAGAGGCCACTTTGCATGAAGTTGTCTGAATAGAGAGTGGCCAGCTTCATCATCTGAAGAAGTGGAGTCTACTCCATGTAAGTTGGTGCCCACTTCATTTGTTAGTCTTTAAGGTGCCACAGGACTCCTTTTTGTTAAAGCAAAGGCAGCAGATGCGTTTTCAGTCCAGTAGTCATAATTTTTCCGGTGTTTTCTCCCCCTCCCACCCTACACTTTAATCCTTAAAAATTCCAAGAAACAAATGTACACCTGGTATAGGATTAATGCCCTGAAGTGCTTGGTTCAATAAATTTCCCAAATTAGGAAAGAGGTCCAACTTCTTCTAACGCAGAACTCATAATTAGACTTAAATTATGCCACCTCAGAGTCTAATTCTAATTTTAAGGAGGCTTTTCTAGCCTCTTTTTGAATGCAAAGCTTTAATTTCTCTTCTTGATATGTCCTAAGGAAAAGGCTGTTCTTTATGTGTCTCCAAGTTTTGTGTGTGATGTTACCTGGAAAAGGTAATTTCCCTTCCTAGTCTTTGTCCAGATTCTAAATCAGTGAAAGAGAAATTCTGGCATTTAGACTGGTACACAAAGAGTGCTTACATTTGTATTTATGAATCACTATCAGAATGATATTTTAACTTCCACAGATTTTATAGTCAGTTCTATAGCTTATTTCTTATTTC